ATGGATGAAACAGACTGTTGTGGTTTTTTGAGGTAAAACGAAAAACTATATTACGCTCTATCTATATGGTATTGAGCACTGTTTGTGTTTCGTAAACCAAAATCTTAAGCTATATATATATATATATATATCCGCCATTCAGTTTCAACCAAGACCAAGTGAAGTGCATGAAGAAATCTAATTTAGAATAAGTTCACCTTAAAAAGTTTTTTATAGGTACACAACACGTCATGTATCGGTTTGAAGAACATCACCTGTGAAATCCTGAGCTAAATCTTGTCTATCAATTTCACACAGAGCTTTGCGAAGTTCCTCGCGCCAGGACTGCGCGGCTTGATGACGAGATGTCCACCAATGTTTGAGCATCATATATGCTTGCCACACCACATCAGTCAGATTATTCAAGCGAATCTCCTTTATTTTGCTATCGCTAATACCAAGAAATTTTGCCAGTTCTTTCCAGTCTCCAGGGATATTTTGAGCCAATTTCAGCAAATGATTATCCATATACTTATCTATAAAAATGTCAGGACCTGTTAACATATGTCAGAAAGAATGTGCTAACCTGGCTTGAATAAATTCCTAAGAACCTCCTTTATAAGGACACTGAAGGGAACGAGCAATATACATATCAGACTGGTGTTCGTTTACTGAAGTCATCACCGTGTTTTGAACCAAAAATAACCATACAAGCAAAAAATGTTTCAAATAAAATGCATGCAGCCAGAAGGTGCAGGCAGAGAAAATATATCACAACACAGAAAAAACACCAAGCCAACCGTAAAATCTATGCATGGCAGAAACCTCCCCACCCCCCACCTACCACTTCACTTTTCTAATACTCCGTCCCTAACACGAAGGAAGTTGTACATACTACTACTACATAGCATACACAGGATGTTGGGCATCTCACTCGATCGAACAAATGTGAAGGATTTTGTAGATGGAAATTTCGAACGTAAATTTTGTACATTTATTGAGACCTAACCAGGAACAGACACGAAAAATGCAACCATAGGCCTTCAAGGATTTGAACTTGCGGCACTGTGATTGTGGTGCAGCGCTCCAACCAACTGAACTACAGTGTCCACCTCTAACCGCAAGTTATATAATCAAGATATAATGAACTGCAGGGTCGATTCTGGTCAGAGGGCCTATAGTTGCATTCTACGCAAATGTTCCTGGTTTGGTCTCAATAAATGTTGAAAAACCTGCAAAATCCTTCAACAAATAATATACACAAACTATCATTAAACTAGTAGAGAAACCGAATTGGCACTCTGTGACCGTTACTTCTTTTAAACTAAATTGCTTTAAACTGATTGGTTGATTTAATCATCACAATGTTTTTCCACCAATCAGATCAGTTTGTTACAGATATTTGCACTGTGATTACAGAAAATTGCACTGTGATTACAAAAAATTGCACTGTGATTACAGAAAATTGCACTGTGATTACAGAAAATTGCACTGTGATTACAGAAAATTGCACTGCTGTTTGGGATTAACTGCACTGAAATCAACAAATCACAGTCGAGTAATATCTTTATGTATATTATTATAATTATAATGGAATTGCACTTTGGAGTAACTAGTATAACCGTATATGACACAAAAAATGTTCTACTGTATATGTTTAAATTATTTTCAAACGATTATAAA